TTTCTCTGGTCCTGCCCCAGATATCAGTCATTTCACTCCTAAACACATCAGCATGCATCTCTGATGAGGGCTTGCTGTCTTTAAAAAGATAGGTCTTTTCCTTTCAGTGTGTAGTTATTTTCATTTCACTTGCCTTTGGGAAGCAACAATGGGTCTCCTCCGTAGCTAGGAGCTGCCTGTCCAAAGGAGAGGTTTAGAAGAGATTTAGCTGTGGCCCTCACACTCCTGCCCCCTCCATTTCCTGGCACTAGGATTGGCCCTAAACTGGGTACAACTTGCCCTGTGGCCCCTGTGAGGTAGACTGTGGTTTGGGACTGCAGTGATTCTACAAGATGGGTCAAGGGGCTGGCCAGGGCATATAGCTTAGACCCCCCCTGGAGCCTCAGTTGAGATTTCTCATGGGCAAATTAAGGATAAGAGTATCACCCTCATGGCTCAGTTGTTGGGATAAGTACATCAGTCACTCCTGGAGGAGTCTTACTTCACAGCAGGTGCTTCCTAATTCATGCCCACCCCACCCATCCCAGTCTTGCGCCTTAGACCAAAAGTATGGAAAATCAAGTTATCTGTTTAATTTGGGACCCAGTTGATTTTTATTTGTTTGTTCTCTGAACCCAGAACTTTATGCCTTTTGTACTTTTGCTTTAAGGCAGTGGCAAACGAGATTGTGGGGGAGACATATTCTAGTTTTTCCCAAAGGTTTTATCTTAACAGATAAAGAGTTGTCATCAGAAAAATTGTATACTTGTTTTTCTTTTAAGTCCAAGTTATTTTTTTTATATTTAAGTTAATTCATGCTTTTGGAAAAACTGCATCCCAGTATCAGTCACATTTGGTAAATTCACACTCAACTTTTGTGAAAATTGCCTCTTTTCTGGGCTCTTTGGGAGGAACCCCTTAGCTGTGGGTGGGGACAGAAGCTTCCAGATCTCACAGGCGCTATGAGTAGAGCCCCTCCCATTTCCCTCCCCACCCCCAGGTTTATATGTCCAGAAGGACAGCTGTGCACAGAATATTCAAATCACCTATTTTCTTTTATTTTTTTCTAGGTATTGTTAGAGATACAAAAAGAATTATTAGACTACAAAGGCCTTGGGATTAGTGTTCTTGGTAAGATTTACATTTGGATTCTGTGACTGTCCGGGTGTCAGGGAATTAATTTAAATGCATCAAACCTGTAATTTCTACAGGGTCTTTCTATAGTTCTTTTCAGATGTAGTTAAAAAATTTTAATAATTTAGTTGCATGTTTGATGGAAGCAATTTTGAAATCAACATAAACATAAATGCTGGTGAGATTTCATACATCTCAGCATTTTCTAATTGGTTTTGCTAGTCATAGGGACTGAGATCCAGAGGTTTTTACTGTACATTTGCATACCAGTGTCCCAAATATTTATAGTACTGCTTCACGTTCACTTAGTTTTTAACTACACTTATAAATGAACTTAATAAAAGTTTAAAAGTACACAGGGTTTTTATGAAGATCTTGTCTGCTAATAATTTCATTAAGCTTCTCTCCTTTATATTATTAGGGAAGGGAACCTTTGAGTTCTAAAATTTTCTTTTCCCCTCTCCC